GGGCTCGGCGGCGAGTCTGGGCCGCGGAGGTGGGGCGGACCCCGTCGTGGGAGGGCGGGCGGCGCGCGCCTTCCGGTTTTGCAGAGGCTGCGCACCCCCAGCCCCCCTGCTTCTCAGGCCCTGTCTTTTCCTCTGGACTCAGTTTGCGGCTGTAATGGCCCTTGCGTTTCAGAGGAAGGTCGATCTATTTCCCTAAAATAAGATACGACGAGTCGTGGGCACTGGGGAGTGTCGAAAGTTTTAGAGTTGGCAGAAGGTTGGATCAGAGCATCTTTCTGCAGAGATGCACCTGTTGCCAGCTGCTTGGCTGCATTGTCTGCGAAAGAAAAGCAGGCGACGCTTTCCTGTGACTTTTGGGGTCCCCGAAGGGCCGGGTCACTGCCTATCCCCTCCCCTCCGCACACCACGGTCTCCCTGAACAAGAGCACTTCAAAGAAAGATAGGCCCCTACCCTAACGCCTTTCACAGCAGAGTGTGGTGTGTGTGTGTGTGTGTGTGTGTGTGTGTGTGTGTGTGTGTGTAGATAAGGCTAGGAAAAGGGAAAAAAGTGTGCACCGGCTAGGAAACCCCACCCGAACTGCCCGAGCCCTCTGAGAGACGAGTGTCACGGGACACCTGCGTGCACGTCCCCTGGGGGGTGGGGAGGTGTGTGACGAGGTGGCGAGGCACAGCCCAGCGCTGCTCCAGGTGCGGTGTACCTGGCCCACGCCTGCGTTCCTTTCCACCCAGGCTTTTGTTGCACCTTCCCCACGTGTGAGCGGCCCAGAGCCGGGGGCCCGGGGAGTGTTGAAATGTAACGGCGCTGTGGGCTTCGCGGATCTGGGTGGAGGGTGACACCTCCTTCGGAAAGAAAAAAAACCACCCCAGCCGGCTACCAAGGTGAAGGCAGACGGTTCCCACCTTAAATTCCGCCCTGCTCGTGACGTCAGGTCGGAAATATACCAAAGCGAGCGCGGGCCAGCAGTCCGGGAGCGCGGCGGCGCGGCGATTGGGCGGCCGGCCGCTGACGCGCGCTGACGCGCGGAGACTTTAGGTGCAGTTGGCAGCGGCGGCGCGAGCCACATAAACAAAGGCACATTGGCGGCCGGGCCAGTCCGCCCGCGGCTCGCGCTCGGCTCCGCAGCCCGCTCGCCTGCCCCGCCGGCCGCTTACCTCTGCTGCCCGCGGCTCGCGGCGTCTCTGCTCCCTTCGCCCCGCTCACTCTCCCCTTCCCGAGCCCGGCACCCGGGCTCCCCAAGGGAATCACACTTCAGCAGAGTTGGATGAATGAAGAGAGACGCGGAGAACACCTAAGTGAGTAGGTGCAGCCCGTGAGCTCGCGTTCTTTGATCCTTCTTTAGCTTGTCTCCTCTTCCCACGGGCCGAAGTGAGCGCCAGAACCGTGAGCGCGAGTGGGCAGGAGGATGGGGAGTGGGTTGCGTATAGCTGCGACGGGCATTTGTTCTAACTCCAGCTTTGGCATTAGGGGGGAGTTGGCTGCCGGCAGAGGCTTCCGGGCTCCTCATTGGTGGACGTGGAAGGGAGACTCCACAGTGTTTGGGGCTGCCGCCTTCCCCGCGGAAATGTGCGCAAAGTTTGCTCTTGGTGTCGGAATTGATTGCGGCTTTTGGACGTGGAGACTCAAGTCCTGTGTATGGGAGGGAAGCTGCTCTCAAACTGACAGGGGAAGAAAGTTCTTCAGTTTGTGTTGCTTGGGAACTGTGTCACTGCGGTTGGCCAGCTTGCCGATGTTTCCCGGGTACTGTTGAGTAAGGGTAGTGTTGATAGAGTGTCCTGTTACTAAGTTGCCTGAAATTTCTGGTTTTGAACATATGTCTTTCTGGAGAGAAGGAGTGAAAACGCACTTAGGAAGGTAATAGGGGGTTAATGTCCAAGGCGCAGGCATATTTCCAAGGGCTGTGTTGTGGGGGGGTCAAGAGTCTCCCTATTTTTTTCTGCTTAACCTCCTCCTCCCTTCCCTCCACTGAAGCGAGATTATGGGGGAAGGGAGGGAGTAGGAGTGGATGTTTGGCTTTCTTTTTCATTAGTAATAAGATTGTGCTCTCGAATAGCGTCCAGTGGGAACATCTGAAAATTAGTGGGACACAAGAATGCCTTGTTCCAGCAAGTAGCCAGATTGTGCAAGGTATTGTGGAGAAGGTATTCAGGTTGCTGTGCTCGGAAGTGCTTCTGACATTGGTTCCAGCACCTCTAAGCAGTATTCCCCTCCCTCTGCAGTTGACCTGGGATGCACCTGGCAAAGTGGGGTCTTCTTCTCCCACCCCTTGGCCATTAAAGATATTGGAAACCAAGACTTCTGGATAAATAAACTTGTATCAGTGTATCCCCAATCTCAGTGTTCTGTCAAAAGAAGTCAGATGCTTCCACTCAAATTGCCTTCCTGGCTGTCCAGGCCTTGCTAATATTTAGTAAGGGGAGTTGTTTTTCTTATTTTATATTCTTGACTTTTAACTTTCTTCCTGCCTCCCCCCCAAAAAGCCTATTTGACCACAGGGGAAAAAATCAACAGCAAGTTCCAACGCTGCACTTTCTCTTAAACTCTAGTTTTCTTATTCTAGTCTGAACTAGACTAAAGTGAAAATGACTTCTTCACCCACACTCTAGCAAAAGGGCCAATTCATTTCATCATGAGTATTAAATAAATTCACAGAATACCTTTCCTTCTGCAGGATCTTATTGCTACAAGGATTTACACAGTGCAGCGGGTGACGTTCTTTCTTGTTTCTGGGCATGTCTTTTACACATCCGTTTCAACTACTGTTGGGTAAAGGCTACACACTAATTTCCAGTGAGACATAAAAGGACCCAGTGAACCCACATGTGCTCAGCTCAGTCTCTGTGAGGAGGACGCTGAGACTTCTTGTGTCTGTGTTTCAGGGAGGAGACTGGACAGGCTGGACTCTGCATTGCTCTTTTAAAAATCTTGGAAACTTTGTCCTTCACTGAATTTCGACACTGTCCACTTTAAATTTCCTCGAAAAAAACACCAGTAACTCGGCTGAAGGTTAGTGAACTTTATTTCTTTTTACCTTTCCCGAGTTCTGTTAACGTCAAGAAACAGAGCATCGGACTCTCCTCAAGCAAACCCTGTAACTTCAGGTTACAGGAAACAACTTTCTCATTGTGCACTTCCACTTCCTTTCTAGAATGCTCGTTTCTAGAAAGCTTACTGAACCCTAGCTTTGGAGAAGGGGCTTTATCAGAGCGGGATTGACAGTGAAGGGGCGGGGAGTGGTGGGAGGCACTGATATTGGAAATATCCTGGAATATAAACCCTCAAGAGCTTTATAGCTCTGGTCCTTATTTGACCAGTGCTTTCAGGCCCTATGCTATTGCTCTGCAGCTTTCACCTCTGTTTCCCTTCCTTTCGTGCCCCTACCCACTCACTGACCGCTGTGGGCTGCCGGTGTAGCTCCAGGTGTTCCTGAGCCCGGGAGAAGGTGTTCAGTTGACCAGGCTGAGTGTGTATCACCCTGTTTCATTTCCAGCCATGCCTTGTGTTCAGGCGCAGTATGGGTCCTCGCCTCAAGGAGCCAGCCCCGCTTCTCAGAGCTACAGTTACCACTCTTCGGGAGAATACAGCTCCGATTTCTTAACTCCAGAGTTTGTCAAGTTTAGCATGGACCTCACCAACACTGAAATCACTGCCACCACTTCTCTCCCCAGCTTCAGTACCTTTATGGACAACTACAGCACAGGCTACGACGTCAAGCCACCTTGCTTGTACCAAATGCCCCTGTCCGGACAGCAGTCCTCCATTAAGGTAGAAGACATTCAGATGCACAACTACCAGCAGCACAGCCACCTGCCCCCCCAGTCCGAGGAGATGATGCCGCACTCCGGGTCGGTTTACTACAAGCCCTCTTCGCCCCCGACACCCACCACCCCGGGCTTCCAGGTGCAGCACAGCCCCATGTGGGACGACCCGGGGTCTCTCCACAACTTCCACCAGAACTACGTGGCCACTACGCACATGATTGAGCAGAGGAAAACGCCAGTCTCGCGCCTCTCGCTCTTCTCCTTTAAGCAGTCACCCCCAGGCACTCCGGTGTCCAGCTGCCAGATGCGCTTCGACGGGCCCCTGCACGTCCCCATGAACCCGGAACCCACGGGCAGCCACCACGTAGTGGACGGGCAGACCTTCGCTGTACCCAACCCCATTCGCAAACCCGCGTCCATGGGCTTCCCAGGCCTGCAGATCGGCCACGCATCGCAGCTACTTGACACGCAGGTGCCCTCGCCACCATCGCGGGGTTCCCCCTCCAACGAGGGGCTGTGTGCGGTGTGCGGCGACAACGCGGCCTGCCAGCACTACGGTGTGCGCACTTGTGAGGGATGCAAAGGCTTCTTTAAGGTGAGCAAGGGCGGGTCTGAGAGGGCAGGTAGGGCCCCCTAGTGCCAGGAACCCTGGAGAGCACCCTTCACCTCCGCTTGGGCTGCCCAGCCTCAGCTGTCCCTGGTCGCTCAAGTCTCCCGGGTCTCAGCTGACGCTGTTTTGCAGCTGCCCACGGGCTGCCGAGGAGGCCGCTGGGTGTCTGAGCAAGGGAAGCTGGAAGGCTGGGAGCCCGGGGGTCGAAGCCCCCCTCACCTCGCCGACCCGGCGTGCCCTCCACCGAAGTTGCTGGCGCTGGACTTAGAAGAGGGTCATTTGCATGTGCTAGGAGCTGTCTTTCCTGCTCAGATTGAAATTGGTTAGGACAGAGAACCGTGTCTGAGCTAACCAAGTGGAACAGAATTCCCTATGGTCAAATTAAGTGATCTCTTTATTTCACCATCCTGATTGAATAATCTTATCATTTTAAATAGAGCAGGTCTCCAAGGAATGTAAATAATATGAATGCCCACGGATTTGTATTTACAGAGCGACTCTTTCCCCTTCTCTTGGCATATAAAACACAGCAAAGAGCGGCAAGGTTAGCTCAAATGTTAACGCTATCAATTTTCTTCTGTTAAATGCCCTGCGGGAGGAAAAAAAGAAAAGAAATAGAAAAGGAAAAGGGGAAATATGAAAAGGAATCGTGAGTGTGTGTTTGTTTGTGGGGAGGGAGTGTAGATCCAAGCCAGTGAGAAATTGTCTCCAGGTTGCTGGATTTTCAAGGAAAAAACAAATAATTTGCGGCATACATTGTCTCCTTTTGCAGCGCACTGTGCAAAAAAATGCGAAATATGTATGTTTAGCAAATAAAAACTGCCCAGTGGACAAGCGACGTCGGAATCGTTGTCAGTATTGCCGGTTTCAAAAGTGTCTGGCTGTTGGGATGGTCAAAGAAGGTAGGTGGGGGCAATCTGTTGACCCCCTCAGTCTATGCCCCTAGAAAACAACTACTGGTTCCCCAGTCCTGTGGTCCACTTTCCAGAGACCCAGAATCTTCAGCGCCCCCACCCTGCGCCCCTACCCAACCTCTGGGACCTGGCCCCAGCCTACATGCCCAGCCTCTCCTAGAGAAAACCACCAGGCCCTTTTTGCCTTTAACTGCATGACCCAGTTGGAGGAAGACATAAAATAATCCTGCATTTTTTTAGTGCCTTTCCTCAGTAAAAGCTTTACAAGAGAGGGGTTCTGAGCCCTCAGGCCTGGTGCCCACAGCTGCAGTCTGGGATGGGGGTGAGGGGGGCAGCAGCTGGGCCTGGGATCCCAGACTGGTGCAAACAGGGCTGTTCTTTTGCAGTGGTAAGAACCGACAGTTTAAAAGGCCGGCGAGGTCGTTTACCCTCCAAACCGAAGAGCCCGCAGGAACCCTCTCCCCCTTCGCCCCCAGTGAGTCTGATCAGTGCCCTCGTCAGGGCCCACGTTGACTCCAACCCGGCTATGACCAGCCTGGACTATTCCAGGGTAAGAAGCTGGTGCGGGGTGGCGGCAGGGCGGGGGGAGGAATGTGTGGACAAACCAACAGATGGGCAGGACCACCTCCTCATACCCCATACCTTGCACTAAACTTCAGACTCAAGGGACGTGGCCAGGCTGGTGAGGCTCTATGCCTCACAGCTTGGGTGGGGCCACGGGAGATACACAGATGGTGTAGCTCAAAGTGTAGCTGTGAAGACCGGCATAGCAGTTCAGTCTCTGTGAACTGCCCCCGACTGCCACCACCATATACACCAATGTCTCAAAGGCAAAAGCCAGAGGCTGTGTAGTACCCCCTTGCCCCAACCTTTCCATGTTATCCCGATCTTCCAAAGAGGTACAGTAATCCTCATCTTTTCTGCCGGTGTCCGGGTAAAGGAGGTGGGACCTGCTTGGGGGCCAGGGAATGAAAAGAGAAGGGTGGAAGGAATAGTAGTGGGGTCAGGGATCAAGTGGTCAAATTCCTCTTTTACTCCAGCTGTGAAAAATGTGCTGGCTTTAATTGGAGGAAGTGTGTTGGGCAAACCTAGAAGCTACTGCAATATTATTAAGATTTGCAAAGGGCGTCTCAGCTCAGAGACCCTCTGTGGGACTAGAATGAATACTAACACGTCAATTGTTTTGTGGAGATAAGAGTGAACGTTTCCCAGGGCTGGATCACACTGTATTTAGTCTGTATGGAAATGGTAATTTACATATTTAAAGCAACGACCTCATAGCACCGTCCCTAATTGAATTAATTGCCCCAGAACATCTAATTTCCTTACTGGTCAGAGAGAGGTTTAATTGTTATAAAAACCTGGCTCCCCTACTAGAAATGGGGTTAGCAATTTCACGGGTTATATATTTTAGAGAACCTCATTAAGTGCTTTTTAAAATGAAATTCCAGTTCCAGGCGAACCCTGACTATCAGATGAGTGGAGATGACACCCAGCATATACAGCAATTCTATGATCTCCTGACTGGCTCCATGGAGATCATCAGGGGCTGGGCAGAGAAGATCCCAGGCTTTACTGACCTGCCCAAAGCTGACCAGGACCTGCTCTTTGAATCAGCTTTCTTGGAACTGTTTGTCCTTCGATTAGCATACAGGTAATGAGAAAGGAGACAATCCAGGGAGGTTGGAGAGGAATCCAGAAAGTAAAAGACAGTGAGGCAAAGGGGTAGAAAAGAGGAATAAGGGAAAAGGACAGACTAGAAAATGAAAGGGGGAAAAAGGAAAGAAAAGAGAACACAAAAGGAGAAGGGAAGGAGTGTGAACCCAGAAATCTTGTATGAATGGAGTGGAGGTGGGATAGGGGGCGTTCTTGATTGTTATGAAATTAAACCCTTTCAAGGTCCACTGGTCTACATTTTATTAACTCTTCAGTAATTAGGTGCCTCTTAAATCCCTCATTTATTGCTCTTCAAGTAATTAGTTGTTTAGCTTCTCTCTCTCTCTTTTTCTCCCCTCTCTCTTTGGTATTAATTGCAGGTCCAACCCAGTGGAGGGTAAACTCATCTTTTGCAATGGGGTGGTCTTGCACAGGTTGCAATGCGTGCGTGGCTTTGGGGAATGGATTGATTCCATTGTTGAATTCTCCTCCAACTTGCAGAATATGAACATCGACATTTCTGCCTTCTCCTGCATTGCGGCCCTGGCTATGGTCACAGGTCAGTACTGCAGGGGCAGGGCACGTCCCCTCCAGAACTGTCCACTGGGATTTGTCCTGGCCTTCCCTTGTCACACCTCTTCTCTCATTCTGCCTGTTAACTAACTGCCTGGTGCCTTCTTCTGTTTTTTATTGTGTTTTCTGCAGAGAGACACGGGCTCAAGGAACCCAAGAGAGTGGAAGAGCTGCAAAACAAAATTGTTAATTGTCTCAAAGACCATGTGACTTTCAATAATGGGGGGTTAAACCGCCCCAACTATCTGTCCAAACTGTTGGGGAAGCTCCCAGAACTCCGTACCCTTTGCACACAGGGGCTACAGCGCATTTTCTACCTGAAATTGGAAGACTTGGTACCACCGCCAGCAATAATTGACAAGCTTTTTCTGGACACTTTACCTTTCTAATATCTTCTCCCATGCACTTCAAAGAACTGGAAAGAAAACTAAAACTGTCCAGAGGGGCTAGTCATACGGCAGAGATAGCTCCCTGAGCTGTCTCAGCACAAGCTGTCCCCGCTTCTGTAAAACTCCCAGCCCCTTGATCCCTAAAGAAAACAAATAAACAAATAAAAACTGTTGCTATTTCCTAACCTGCAGGCAGAACCTGAAAGGGCATTTTGGCTCCGGGGCATCCTGGATATAGAACAAGGACTACACACAATACAGTGGTATAAACTTTTTATTATCAGTTAAAAATCAGTTTGTTGTTCAGAAGAAAGATTGCTAATGTATGATGGGAAATGTTTGGCCATGCTTGGTTGTTGCAATTAAGACAGATGATGTCTCACACACACACACACACACACACACACACACACACACACACACTCACACACACATCTTAAGGGGACCCATAAGTACTGCCCTTTAACAAGACTTCAAAGTTTTCTGCTATAAAGAAAGATGTAATATATAGTAAAACTAAATGTTGCGTGGGTGGCATGAGTTGAAGAAGGCAAAGGCTTGTAAATTTACCCAATGCAGTTTGGCTTTTTAAATTATTTTGTGCCTATTTATGAATAAATATTACAAATTCTAAAAAATAAGTGTGTTTGCAAAAAAAAAAGAAAATAATTACATAAAAAGGGACAAGCATGTTGATTCTAGGTTGAACATGTTATAGGCACTTGCTACTTCAGTAATGTCTATATTATATAAATAGTATTTCAGACACTATGTAGTCTGTTAGATTTTATAAAGATTGGTAGTTATCTGAGCTTAAACATTTTCTCAATTGTAAAATAGATGGGCACAAGTATTAACACATCGGAAAATCCTGACAAAAGGGACACATAGTGTTTGTAACACCGTCCAACATTCCTTGTTTGTAAGTGTTGTATGTACTGTTGCTGTTGATAAAAGAAAGTTTATATCTTGATTATTTTGTTGTCTAAAGCTAAACAGAACTTGCATGCAGCAGCTTTTGACTGTTTCCAGAGTGCTTATAATATACATAACTCCCTGGAAATTACTGAGCACTTTGAACCTTTTTGTTCTTTTTAATGTCTAAAATTGTCAGTTAATATATTATTTTATGTTGGAGTAAGAATTTTAATATTGCCATATTCTGTAGTATTTTTCTTTGTATATTTCTAGTATGGCACATGATATGAGTCACTGCCTTTTTTTCTATGGTGTATGACAGTTAGAGATGCTGATTTTTTTTCTGATAAATTCTTTCTTTGAGAAAGACAGTTTTAATGTTTACAACAATAAACAATGTAAATGAACAGAGCTTTGTCTTTTTTCTGGGTCAGGAAGAAAATGATGACTAAATAACAATACACAATAGGTAGACTTGGGATAGGTGACTTAGTCAACATCTGAATTTTAAACTAATAACCTAGGTATATTCTGGCAAAAGGAACTGGGTAATCAAACTGATTGTTCTAGAGAATCCAGAACAATATTTTTACTTAAATAGAATTTTCCAGTCTGGTGACCTATATGTATCAGAATCAGTTTAGAATGTCTCACTCTTCTGTTATTTTGGCAAGTGCAACTTTCAGAAAAGAAGCTGAGAAGATCCAAGGGCTTTTGAACTTTTACAAGACTGACAGTCTGGTCAAGTTCTTGTCTTGGACAATGCTTAGAAAATATCTTTTTAAGATTCAGAAAGTCAACATGAATTTGAGAAGTTTCGTGTGTTAGCTCGGACTTTCTGATTCCTCCACATGTAACTGATGAATGGGTCTTGGAGGACGTGTGAAGCATTTCAGGCTCCTTGGGCCTTGCATCAGTTTCTGGCATAGAATGGAACTCAGTGCAGAGATTTCTTTTTTCCACCTTCAGCGGAGAGTGAATGAGGTGCAACTTGCAGTTTTAGGATAAAAATTCCACCTTCTAAGTTTCTCAGATAAATAATAAATTATCCAGTACAAGTAAGTTATGACAGGGCCCCTAGGATCTACGCAGCACTGACTTTCAGTAGAGAAAGGAAACTCATGCTGTAGACGCCGATTTCCGGCTGAGTTTCCTCCCAGCGACTTTATCCTCTATCCTCGGGCCGCAGGGTCTGCGAGTTTCACCCTAGGCCAGCGGTGCTTACGCAGAGTGCTGGATGCGACGATCCTGTTCGCTGACCCGGTGAATTACAGCCGCCCTCCGGGTCACTAAAATTTACAAAGAGCATTATCGTTTTTAAAATGCAGAGTTAAAAGAGTAAATAGCCAAGAGAGCTCTCAGGTTATTTTTCTTTTACCTTTCTTTTCTTCCCTTATCTTTTTGAAAGAATTGTTTTGCGGGTAGGCAAAGAGAAGGCTGGTCTCCGTGGCACTTTATTTTTAGTGGGCTGTTTCTCTCAAGTAGAAACTTAGGGGCTAAAGAGGGTGGCCACATAAGAGATCAAATGAAAACGAAATGTCCAACTTTCTGGCTTTCTGGAAAAGATGAGGTTAGCCATATCATTTTATTTTCATATCTTATGGCCAACCAAAGCCACAAAATAATACGCAAACAGTAAAAGCTCGTGAGAAGTGCTGGGAGTCGTCACAGTTCTGAGCCCTCATCTCCCAGGTGTCTGCAGCCCCAAGACAATCACATTCCGCCACAGCATCTCTGAGAGTTGAACCCCGAAAAAACCCTGTTGCTGGTTCTTCTCCGGAGGAAGCCGAGGGTGTCACCCGAGGCCAATGGATGTTGGATAGGGCGCGTCTCGAGAATTTAGGGTGCAAGGAAGGGAACCGGCTGGTGCGCACGCAGCGGTGGTGCTTGAGATGTGAAGCAGAGAGTGCCTTTTTCGCTTTAGAGACTCTTCCAAGTCCTGGAGGCACACGGAGTCGTGTGGCTGAAGAGCCTGGCTGGTATCTTTCCTGTTCTTCAGAGGTTGGAGCAGCTGAGAGTTTTTCTTGTCCTAGTCTTTCTAGGAATAAAGTTTAGGAGAGTCCATAGCACGCTGCACTGTCAAAGCCAGACGTTGCCCTGAACTTCCTTACAAGGAGATTAAAACTTTATAACAGGGACTTCATATCGCCACGTCTCCACATGTTCTCTTAGGAGTTTCAGCTATTCTGTATAGTTCCAGCCACAGAAAATGTATGATCATTGTTTCAAAGTCATGGCCGTACACTTCTGACCTCTGAGAACTCTAATTTTAGTCTTTGGGTCCGGTCTCAGGTCGAATGGTTGCCCGAACGCTCTGACTTTAGGGAAAGATGCCCTTTAATTCCAAGTGTGATGAGCAGCGCTATTGACTGCTGTCTCCTTGGTTCTGCCTTTTTGCGGTCTGGGCGGGCCGGCCTCGAAGCGGCAGGAGCGTCCGGGGTGCCCTGCGGGTCCTCGCAGTGGGGGAAGCAGGGGTGGGGAGAAGAGTTCGCGTCTTGATTTTGAATCGCGGGTTACTCTGCGGTGACAAAAGCACCCAACGACCTTATCTTGTGTATTTCTTTCTGGCATCTAACTTTATCCCTAGAGAGTTTGGGTATCCCTTCCCCTAAAAATACGGGCTGTAGGTTTTACAGGCTCGTGGTTTTCTGTGCGCAAGAAGTCTATAAAAAGACGTAGATATTCTTGCCCATTTAAGAATGTTACTTGAAGGTTCAATTTCACTTTGCCTTGAGAATCTCATGGTGTTGCCGGTGTCGGTGCGTCAGTGCGAATGTCCACTTATCTAATTATACTTTAAACGTAGGCGTCGGTGGTGAAGAAAAAAGTCTTTCTAAGATACAGACAGGTCAACCAGGGAAAAGTTTTATTTTCTTTCTTTGCAACGGTTTGATCACAGCATCCCGGTACGGGATATATTGTCATCCTGCCAGGCCCAGAGCAGGGCAGCCGCATGACAGCGCTTCCACTGCAAGCTCGCGCGGCGCACCTTCGCGCCGGCAGCTCTCCGCCTGGTTCCGCGAGCGTCCTTTCCCTTTTCTATCCGCCACGCGGCAGCGCCGAGGTGTCTGTGGAGAGAAAGGACTGAGGGTCTTTCACGCCGCCGGCCCGGCCTCGCCTCTCTCGGTGGGAGAGGTGCTTGCATCGAGGCCATTTGCGCCAGAAACCACAGTAAAAATGGAGCCAGGTTCCCTTAAGGCAGAGGGGAAGGAGCAGTGTCTCGTTCCGCACATTTTAAACTCTCCTCCCCTAAGTATTATTTTAGTGGTTGAACAGAGGTGCACGGATGGGTGTCTTTAAAAACTCTCGCTTCTAAAGACAGCTTTAAGGGTTAATTTTCCTTGCTACCCATTCCCACTATGCAAGAATATGAACTCTTGCTTCGTGGGCGCGCTCGGAATTTCTCAGCAATCCAAACTTCCTGGGCACCCCACGTGCTGGCATTTGGCTCAGATTTGTAATCCTACCGGAGAGCTAAGCCTTTGGGGTCCCAGCCGACACTCAGTCAAATTCTTCTCCGTTTAAAACAGCACTCTTGGTGGCACCAGTCTTGGGAAAGGTTCTGCTTAGACCCGTGCATTTGAGGGAACTCGAATTGGAGCAGTCGCGTTTTGCAGTCATGGGTTAAATCAATACTGGCTGCCTTTATTGGTAAAGTAAGATATGAGTTCCAAGCGGGTCATCATTTTTTAATAATTCGTTTTAAATAATAAAACAAACACCTGAAAATCAGCTTTTTATTTTTACTTTGTAATTGTACTAGGAGCCAAAGGGGAACATTATACATAACCATTTAGGGTGGCGAAGCTGTCTGTCATTTAAACTCAAGTCCCTTAGCTTGCTTCCTAAGCAGAACTGGGAGCAACTGCTGGGGCCACGGGGCCTTTCCTCCGAGGTTGTGCCTGGCCTTGGGAAAAGTCCGACTTCCGTTGGCCGGAGCTGCGGGGAGCGGGCGGTGTGCGGGACGCCGAGTCGCGCTCCGCGGGAGGCCTCGGAGAAGCGTGGCGCCGCGGGTCCCCAGCCGCGACTCGCGCCACTGGCCCCGCGAAGAGCGGCGAGAGAAGGCGGCTCCCTGCCGCACGCCTTCCCGAGACCCGCCCGCCTCGGCCCTGGTGCCGAGGCCCCAGCTTTCTTGGGCAGGGCGGTGTCCAAGGTCCGCACGGAGGAAGCGAAGATCAAGTGCTCGCTCTACCCACTGCCTTCTGAAGACTTCAGTTTGACTCTGACTTTCGCACCATACACTTTGCCGAGAGAGCCCCGAGTAATT